GCTCTGGTGGGACCCTTCCCCTTGCCTCATGGGCAGGCTGGCCCTGCTCCCAACCCCAAATAAATGAAACCCCTTCTTGAGATAATCGCCCCTCTGTCCAGGATATCACAACTGCTTGGTACAAAATGTGCACCCCTCGGGTCCTAACGCAATGTAATGGTTTCCACTATACCCTATATACAACCATGACATGCTCGCTTATACAAATAATGGCGTTCATATTATTTGTTTGGTGCCAGCAATGCACATGGTGCTTTGCAAAGTATGAGAGCAGGTTCCTGCCCCAAGGAGCTCACAATCGAAAATTCAACACAGAGAAATCAACAGAGGAGGGCGAAGGAGTATGCAGTTGCTTCAGCTGCATGTGACGAGATTTAGTTCCACGGGCATTATGGGATTATGCCAAAAGCTTCGTGTAAAAGGTGGGTTTTGAGAAGGGATTTCAATGGGGCTTTTTTTCAGCCGGAACTCACCAGAACTCAGTTCCGGCACCTCTCAGGTGGGTGCCGTTGCCATCCTAAGCGAACGATGGAAGCATTCATGTTGAGTTCTGGCGCCTCTTTTTCTAGAAAAACAGCACTGTATACACCTTAGTCGTCATCCCCCCACTGTTTTTCTAAACTAAAGACCCCCAAATCTTGCAACCCTTCCTTATAGGAGAGTTGCACCAGCACACTGATCATTTCTACCACTCTTTTCTACAACTGCAGGATCTGTCCACGTTCAGGATGAAAGATACCCACTCCCTTGTCCTGCAACCTTTGACAAAATATGTTGATACATTATCTTTCTATTGAATATATCCATTCTCTTCCATTCTCACAGTCTACTCAGAACAAGAAAGATGGCGAGGCCATCTTCTCAGATTGTCACTTTGGGCCAATTTGTACAATTTATTTTTTTCTGGCAGGGCTCTTTGCCTTTCACAGCGGTAGGAGAAGCAGAAATTCAGCAAGGGAAGCTTCTTCCAGCATACAGATGTAAAGCACATGCAGATGTTCTGCAGAACATTCAAAACGTTAAAATAAATCTGACATATACCTTAAAGTGCCACAGTATTCCTTGTAGGTTTTTTGCTACAACAGACTAACATAGGTAGCCCCTTTGATGCAGCAATGGGAAATTCACCTGTCATGCAGGTGTTAAGGTTTGAAGCTTTCCCTAGAAAACAAATTGGCAATGCCACTGCAACTTAATGCACACCTAAATGTATTTGATGGTATTCAACCTGTGTGGTGAAATTGTCCAGTAGCAACTGGCGTTCACTCATCAGCACTCAATAAGGTTTATACACCTTTACCTTGCATCACCATGTAGGGATGGGCAAACTGAACAGTGACATCAGAAAGCCACCTCTTCATGCAGTCAGGTTGAATGATCCACTCAAGCAGCCTATCTACATGAAAAGAGTTGTGTAAATCAGCCTTTGTTCTCATCCCTCTGTTCCTCAGCTCTCTAGCAGTTCTTTCTGTATATTTTCCAAGAGGCGAAAAAGGCCAATAAACATCCTGGGGAGGGGGGGGAGCAGTGCAGAAAAAATAGCTTTCACAAAACTAATGAGTGCAATCACTTTGAAAGATATCACAAAACAATGCATATTATATTCTTAGACTGTGGCTTTTCAAGTAGCGCATAAGACAAGAGAATTAAGCAAATTCTGAAGACCTTTTCAAGAGACAAATACATATGATAATTGGACTAAAAAATTTACCCATCCAATCCACCCATAGGCATAGCCAAGGGAGGGCAGGAAAGCAGCTGCCCCCCTAAATCAATCAGTAAGGTACCCCTGCCCGTACGGGCCAGTCGTGTCCGACTCTAGGGTTGTGCGCCCATCTCACTTAAGAGGCCGGGGGCCAGTGCTGTCCAGAGACACTTCCGGGTCACGTGGCCAGCGTGACGAAGCTGCTCTGGCGAGCCAGCACCAGCGCAACACACGGAAACGCCGTTTACCTTCCCGCTATAAAGCGGTCCCTATTTATCTACTTGCACTTAGGGGTGCTTTCGAACTGCTAGGTGGGCAGAAGCTGGGACCGAAAGATGGGAGCTCACCCCGCCGCGGGGATTCGAACCGCCGACCATGCGATCGGCAAACCCTAGGCGCTGAGGTTTTACCCACAGCGCCACCCGCGTCAATCAAAATCAATACAAATCAATACAAATCTGAGGTTCTGCCCCCCCCAAAAGCCTGCCCCACAACAAAACTCCTGGCTTAAATAGTTGTGCCTTGACACATGGCTTCAAGATCTGCTGTGAGTGCAGACATAGCCATGTCTATACTCTACCTAACTTCATTTCCCTGCATCCTTACAAGTTCAATGCAGCTGTACCAGAGTGCAAAAAAAGGCTGATATTTAATTCAGAAGCCTTTCAAGATGCTTCCGGTGAATAAGATGATGGAAGAAAATGTGGCATCCATCATACAAAGACTAAGAATCTCTACTGGTACAACCAACCTGGAATAGGTGGCAGTGAGCATAGTGATGTAAAAATCATCACGTGAGATTTTTATTTTTACCACTTTGGTCAGTATAGTAATATGAAAAGAATTCTATGTGTCTTACCGAACATGCAAATAATTATAAATACTTGATGGCTTAACTGAAAACATTTAGCACCTTCATGAAGTTAAAAAAACAACAACATTTCTCTAATAAAAAAGTATTCAAATCTTTGTATCAATTCTTACATCAAGTAAATGATAACTCCTTAATGGTAATATATGTCTGGCAGACCAATCCTGTGCACAATTATTCAGAAAGTCCCACAAACGCAGTGGGTCATAGTACCAAGTTATGTAATCAAGGAGAATGCAGCCTAAATGCTACACAAATTAAGTTTTGGCACTAGACCAAAATGTGTATCATGAATATATGAATCTCTATAGCCATAGTCACAGAGGGTGAAATGCACTGTACTGTATTTCAAAAAGCAAACCAGCCTACACCTGTTTCTTCCCTTCTACCAAAAAGAGTAGAATGTTCAAAACTCTCAATACATTTTGACTGACTCACATTTGAGCACATTTCAGATATGCACGTTTCAGATACTGATCAAAATCCTTATTTTAAATTATTGTCCCTCATACCAGAACATAATGGACACAGCTTATTTTGTAACACAAAAAGTACCACAGACCAAAACCATCAACTTCCAGTTGTCCCAAGGGGTGATGAAACTGTATACCCCTTCATTCTGGATTATGAAACCAAAATTACCATCACCTTTCAGCTCACAATTTCTAACACAATTTAGTCGGTACCATGTACTGAAATGCACACTTGAACAACCTTCTTATGGAGTTCTTTAAAAACTGACACTGCAACAAAATGCAGTTGAGTGGTCGTAATACACCCATTTATTTTGAAACTTTGACCATACACAAGTAAATTCCCCTACACAAACATTGGGCAGAGGGGGTACAATACAGTTATTTTCTGGTTACAAAACTTAATGTGCCTCGGCTCTCAACCCAGCCAGTCTCCCCCCACCTAACAACCTTCTCATGTTAGAGATTTGTCAGATACCGCACCCTCTGTCTGTGGTCAGAACCACCACTTTGCTTAATAACACCCTCCCTCTTTTCTTCCTCCCCCTTTCCAGATGTATGTTGTAGGTCAGCCTAGGCCACAGCTCCAGTGAGGGACTTTCTTCCCTCTGTACGTGTGTGTGTGTGTGTGTGTGTGTGTGTGTGTGTAGCAGGGAGGTGAACAAGCTCAGAAGAACAATTCAAGGTAAATATATATCTATACTACTCCAGATCTTAAGTTCCAGCCCACTGCAAGGTGCTGGCCTCTCCTTTGCATCAAGAGCATGATCTGATCTGAAGTCACCAGTAAGAAAGGAGCCAGCAATGTCCGCTGAAAAGGAAAAATAATACAATTGGGGTGGAGGAGGAGAAGCAGCCTGTGAAAAACTTCCTATCTTTTCTCACTTTGCACATGCAGGTAAGCAGGAAAAGGCAAGAGGCTAAAGGAGAAGTAACTAGATGAAGCCAATCTACAGTGTGTACACACACAAATGCACACACTAGTCCCAGGATGTCCTTCACAGTTGCTATGTTAAAGTTCAAGGAAGCTTTTATGCTAACGCTACTTGGATTTGTTTTAAACTTCCTTAAGCACTAGGCTGCCATGCTTATTTCAAGGTGTCCTTATATTATGATTTCCCTAACCATTCCAACTTCTTTAATCAAGACCCACTATGTACGAATCACAAGTGTGCTGGCTTTTAAGGAAGAGAACTTTACAGAAGTTTTCATCTGGTGTAGAAACCCTCAATGTCATGCTGATTGGGATTTTTTCCCTTTTTTAAATGACAAGCAATCTGTTGAAAAACGGAGACAAAACTTTTGCATGAAATCACTTCCTCTTACTGCGTATGGGAGAACAAAACACATGGTCATTTTTCCTATGCACCCTTCGACAATGCAGTTATTTTATTATCTTTTCACACACACACACCCCCAAAAAAAGAGTGGCTTGGAATAAAATGATTTCCATGAGTTCCATCTTCTACTTCTTTCTGTCCCACAACACAGGTACAGAAGTGCCAAGAGAAGGGGAAGAAGATGGCCGTGTTTCTGATCCGGTATATAAAAGCTCTTTTGTTGCATTCACACACAAAAGCCAAGAATCGCTTTTCATCTCTAGGCCCTGAAGGAAAGGCAAGAAATTGCAAAAAGAAGCAGCAAAGTTCTCCCAAAAGTTTGTGAAGGGACATTGGGAGTTCAAAACGAACAACAATCAATAAATAAAAAAGATTGGAAAAGGAATGGAGAAAGCAAGGTGAAATCCAGCAGTTCTCCTGTGGGTGCTATTCAACCTCTTTTATGCCTTGTATAAAAGAGGAAATGTGATCCCAGTAGGTCCACCACCGAGATTGCTTTTTTTTTTTCTCCTTCCCCTTTCTTTTTAAGGGGGGTTAAAAAAAGAAAACACAACCAACCAGTTGATCCGTTCAGGAGCAGCAAAAGTAGCAAGCTGGCTGTGATCACTTACTTGTCCGTCTCTTGTGACATGTTTGATCCAATGAACTCTCTCCCCTTTTCCAGATGCCTCAGTCTCTCTGGTGAAACTGGACTTTCAAGTCTGTGCAGGTAAAGGTGTGTGTGTGCGCGCGTGAGCGAGCGAGCGAGCGAGAGCAAGCGAGCGCCCGGGACGGCAGAACCAGAGCTACTGGTAATTCTGCTTTTCTTCCCCCCCTCTTACTTCTCCCTCAGCCAGCCGCGGAGGTAGGAGTGGGACAGGTAAAGCCCCCTTCTGCCCGCCCCTCGCATGTGAAAAGGAGACTGGCTAGGCTCGCCTGCCCGCCCTCCCTCCCTCTGCCGTTTAGGGCACCGCGCCGGGAAGCAACAAAAACCCAAAGGCGCCTACAGGTAAACTTTCCCAAGAGGACTTGGATTCTTTCACTGAAGGATACAAGGCAAGAGGGACGAGCTGCGAGCTGATTGGGCCGAGCGGGGCCTCAGGTGAGCAGCCATTGGAAGAGGCGCGCTCAGGTAAGGCCCTTCGCTTAGAACGCCGAGCGAAGCCGCCTCGTTGGGAAAGCGGCGCCGGAATGGTTGAGGGAGAGTGCTAGCTGCAGGCCCAGAGGCGGGCTTCGTGCGGGAGCCATGCCGGGGCACGCGAGGCATGGCCGGCTGGAGAACACGCTCGGGGCCGCGCTGGGTGCTTGACGACGCTCGAGGGGAGGCCGTGGTGGCGGTGGGAGGGGAATAAAGGGGCGCAAGGGCGCCTTTGAGATACCTATGCGAAGAAAGCCCTTATGAGCGTGAGGGAAAGAGGCCCTCGCGAACTCTGCCTTGGCTTGGGCCCGTTTTCTCGGGGCCCAGCGGCCGCCTCCGCCACCCTCGCCCAGCCACGGGGAGGGAGGAAAATTGCCGACCAACATGGAGTCTACCGAGAAGACCACAGCTGACCGCCATCTCGCTTATGGACCTATGCAAGAGGGGTTGTGGGATTGAAACGACCGGGCCTAAAGCGCCTTTCTTCCACAAGTCGTTACCTCCTTGTAATTTGGGACTTAGAAGGATTTGCAGGCCTGCCCAGGGCCAGAAATGGCTCCAATGAATACTTCTGCTCAGCTCTAAATCTCATTTTGTGTGGAGTGGCATGCTTTGGGCTGCTAAAGCCAGGGAAGAGAAAAGGAAGCCAATCTCATTTCCCCCTATTCTTGAGTTTCTCCCAGGCTAAGAGAGAATTGAATTTATTGCATCTCTCTCTCTTCCTCTCGCAATTTCAGTAACGTTTTAGTTGGTACTCACTAAGCTCCGAGGTTATGGATATGTGGTGGAAATATTATTTGAAACGTCTATATCCTGGCTTACTGCCGGACAACAGGCTTCCAGTGTGGCAGACAATAAGTGAAAAATCAATGCACAACACGACTTTAAAGGTAGTGTTGACATATGAAGGAAAATGCCCACTTCCCAAGGCTCTGCACCTGTCTGCCTTCAAGAGTATTCACTAAGTGCGCATCTCTTATTTGTAAATGTTTTCATGACCTGCCAATGAAATACAGAGTTCCCCCACATTTTTTTTTCTCCAAGGGAGGCAATTTTGTTCTGGCTCTATTGGCCTTCTCTTCAGGCAGAGGCTTGGCAGTCAGCAATTCAGCCTGCAATTCTGTGCCTGCTTATTTGGGATTAAGCCAATTTGAATGCAGTGAGACTTGCCTTTCAGGAAAACATGGATAGGTTTAGGGTGCATTTATTGTAAATAGTCACTAACTAGCTCACTGATCTGTGGTGCATAAAGATAGGCAACCAAGATAGGGAAGGCATTGTAAACTTAATGAGAAAGAGGGGGTTTTTTTCCAGACTGTTTGCTGATGTGCCACAAATGACACAAACAGGTATTCTTTATTAGGTGGACTTGTAAAAATGTGGACTGTTAACTTTTATGGTCCGGCTTGCAAAGCAGAAGTAATTATGAAATTTACCACCCCAAAATGTGCTAGTGGTCACTGGTTGGATTTTTTTTTTTTTTAAAAAGGATTAGACAACATAGTGGGAATAGCCTTGTAATTTGGGGGTTAAATGGAAACTAATGGAACTTCAGTTTATAGAGACAGTTTACCTCTGAGTACCAAAATGGGGACAAAGGATTACATGCTAGTCCTACTCAAAGTAGACCAATTGAAATTGGTAAACCTAACTCATGCCCATTAACTTCAATGCGTCTACTGTGACCAGGACTAGCATTGGCTCCCATTCATCATACTAATTTGGGTGGCTTTTTGTCCTGATCTGGCAAATGTTAATGTGTTTTTAAATAAAATTAAACTTTAATTCCAAACATGTTTTATTTGGAAGTGAGATCTGTTGAATTCAGTAAAACATGTTTCCAAATAATGTGAGTTTAGGATCACAGCCTAACACCCTAATCTTAAACACATGTGGATGAAAGTCCCATTGAAATTTAGGTTCCATCTGCTGCTTGACTTTAAATACTTGTTGATTCATGCTTCAAGTTGTAAATCAAGAAAAGCTGTACAGTGCAACTTTCCTTTCCAAAAGTCTACCACATCCCTGTAACTTCTTTTTTATATATATCTGCCGCTGAACCTGCTGCTCAGTAAAGTAAACATTTTCTCACTGGAGTGAGTGCTGCAAGAGATCAAACTAGTAGAGTAAGTCTGCAGTCCTGTGCATGCTTCAGGTGGGAGTAAGCACCAATAAAGAGAGCAGGACTTGCTTAGGAACAGGTTGCACAAATTTTATTTACTCTTCCGGTTCACAATCATTTCTCATACTTTCACTTTGGCTAGTTTCTTCAACGAACATCTGTAGCTCTGCTGTCACATTGCTTTGCTGAAAGGAAACAAGTTAAAAGGCAACTGTCTTTACACATCAGCCTACTTTATGTGTGCATATTTTGCTCCATTTAGTAATGGTATTGTTTGGACTTGCCAGTTGAGGACAGAGAATCAGGTATTCAAATAAGGTTTAACTAAGGTTACAGATTATACTTATAATTATGAGCACCTAAAATTATGTGTTATGAAAACTGCTAAAACAAATCTATGGGATAACAGGTGCTAATGGCTTGTGCTTGTATCAAAGCAATGCTGTTAACAAGTTCAATGCAAAAGAGCAGATGTTTGATGTTGCATTGTCTTAGTGCTGGGGGAGGCTTATCATGTGTTTGCACGTATGATAGCTTTTGTGCCAGATTTCAGTTAGGAGCACCAGACACAAAGCCAGCTGCTAATTTTGCAACAGGTAGCACTTACTGTTAATCCTTCCTACATCTTAAAACTTAGCAACCGTCTTTCTTTATTATTAGGGACTTCTGTGACTCATTATGTCCAAGAAGGGCTTGCTTTCTTTCTTTCTTTCTTTCTTTCTTTCTTTCTTTCTTTCTTTCTTTGATGCATTGCAGGGAGTTGGACTAGATGACCCTCTGAGTCCCTTCCAATCCTATGATTCTATGTAAGCTTGACTTAGTTTCTCCAGTTATATGATCCTTGGTAACTCCTGCTTTCAGGCGTTGTGGCACTCATAAATTAACCTGGGGGATGGGAGAATTATGTAGCTGCTTCTGACTTGGGGAAGGGCAAAATGTCACATTTTAGGATTTGATCAAAGCATATTTACATAATTGGTTTAGATATTACTGACTTTCTGTCTCATCCTAAAATGTTTACACAGAAATAAAACCCCATTGAGCATTTCCTAGTAAATGGATTTATGACTACAGTGATGCTCTGTTGGCTTTTGTTGTCCCCATATGCCTAATCAAATACAGTCAAGTATCAAGGGAACGTAGCCAATATTTTTTTTAGTTCAGGAAGAACCACTCTATTACAGTGGAAACACTACCATTATTGTTGGTTTCTTCTGCTTTTATATTGGATGAGATTGGCTTCCTCAGTGTAAGAAGTAGACCATATAAGCATTAGCATTAAAGATTGCCCTTTATGGCAAATTGCTACCTGCATTTGTTTAATGAAAGCAGCTGTATATAGAATGTGAAGACTAAAAAGTGGAAATGCATTTTGGTCATAGATATGAGCAGAGGTATCAGGAAGGCTAAAAAAAATCATGCTAAAAAATATGCTAAAAGGGAGGAAGGCATAGAAAGCATCAGGCATCAGCCTCTAGTCAGACCGTCCCTCCCATCTCCCTCCCCCAGAACCAACAGACACCATGGTGGATGCTCTTTAAATGCACTCTCGACACAATCTGAATTTTTCAAGCTTCTTCTTTTTAAACTGAGTAAATCCTTTAAATGCTTTGTCAATAAACAATGACACTATTGAAGGATTTGCTTCCTTATTCCAGTAAAGAAAGCAAACACCTCAGAATAAACATGCTTATGTTTACACTTTCCACAATTCTTCTGCCTCTACATTCTTTTATACATTTTAATTTCCCAGGATTTCTTGCTTAATTCATGTAAATGCTTTGTTTTTCCAACACATAAAATTAGTTTGATACATTTCTAACCTACAGATATTCTACACATATGTTTTTAGTCTACTTACGGTACCTTAATTAAACAGGTGGGCAAAGCAATCCTAACCCCCAGTCTACACTGCTGGAGGGTACTAGGATGCAGCAGAGGTTTCTTCTGCTGTAGACACCCCCACTGCAACCACTAACAGCACAGCCTGTTGACAGGCCACCAGCCAGTAGAAGGCCCCTAAATATGCCAGGGCAGCCAGTTACAGTGGTACCTCGGGTTACATATGCTTCAGGTTACATACGCTTCAGGTTACAGACTCCACTAACCCAGAAATATTACCTCGGGTTAAGAAATTTGCTTCAGGATGAGAACAGGAATCGTGCTCCAGCGGCGCAGCGACAGCAGGAGGCCCCATTAGCTAAAGTGGTGCTTCAGGTTAAGAACAGTTTCAGGTTAAGAACTGACCTCCAGAACGAATTAAGTTCTTTACCCGAGGTACCACTGTATTTGCTGGATCCTACCAGAGAACTGCCTAATCTAGATAGTCTTAGTACTCCCATCCATCACATTTATTTAAGTAGGGGAGCAATCCCAGCACCACGCATTTGAATCCCTTACAGTCACACTGACTAGGACAGAAGGTATGTGGGCGAGGTTCTTAATGCTTCAAGTCTCATAATGCAGTTGATGTGCATATAAATCTGTGCACCACAATGATTTCAATAACCTTTCAATCTGGAATGAGCTGCTGCAAGTTGTACAAATTTGGCAAATTTGCCACTGCAACAGCCCAT